CTCCCTGACCCCACCCCCCACCTTGCTCCCTACGCCGAGGTAAGCGGCTTGCCCGTGCTTTGCTTCGCTTCCCGGGCTGTGCCGGCCCCCGAGTAAATCCCCCGAAGCGTGAGGCAGCGGCATGGACGCCGGTACTGATCCCCCTGGCCGGTGGGGCGCCCCGCGCTCGGATAGCCCGCGGCCGGAGGGGGCTCCGAGGCGGGGATGCCCTCCTCCTGCCGCCTCCCTCTGCTTGGGCTTGGGTCTGAGACGCAGCCGGCCCTCTGTGCCCGAGGAGCCGCGCTGGTGTTTTGCTTGAGTCTCTGATCTCGAGCGCTTAGGAGGCTCCTCAATTTCTGTGTTCCTGGTAGAGCTTTTAGCGAGGTGCTTTGTCTGGTCGCCTCCGGAACAAGCGTGTCACCTGCACGGCTGAACTGCAAACAGCCTGTGAGCGACGCGAATGAAAAGAGCTGCTTTAGTTTGGAGATAGAGATAAGCATCAGTTCATCAGGAAGCTGCTATGGTTAAGAGTTTGTGTCTAGATTCCCATCTTCTACTCCAACCCCCTAATAATAATTTCTTTTGTATTTTTCTTTCTTTCTTCAGATTCTCTATAGATATGTGAAAAAGCCACTACTTGCTTTTGTCAATAATGGTTACCTGGAGGTTTAACGACAATGGAGATTAAGCTAGATGTTCTCGTGTCTACGTGTATCAAGCAAAGAAAACCATGGCCTCGCATCTCATGGATTGGACAGGTAAGTGTAACAGACTTTTGTTTACATAAAATTCAGCAAAGGGCAGTTTTTCTAATTATATAATACTTTATACTTCCATTTACAGGAACGGGGGGTTTAAAAAACGCCTCAGGAAGTGATTTGAATGTACCCCACTTCAGAGTTACTGAAATAAATATTTTGGTTTTCTATCTTACTGAAATGAGCATAGAGATTGAAAATTTCTGAGATAAACAATGGGGAGGTTTTTTTTTTGTCTTTTTATTTTTTTCCTTCAAAAGACGTGTCCCTTACAAGAGATTATTTTGATCGCTCTAGTTTTTCATAACCTTCTTTTCAGTACATTGTTGGAAATCGTGAACAAAAATTTATTTCCTATTTCATCCTGCATGTGTTGAAAGACACGCTTTCTAAAACTTTTTTTGGTAAAAGGAATTAATTTTTTTTTCCTTGTCTACTAATACATGATTTGAGTTTTAAGTAGGTAACCGTTTGAGGCCAGTTCCTTCTCTTATTGAAATAACTGGCAAAAATATCACTAAATTCAGCACTATTGGACGAGCTAACTAGTGTCTGATTTGTTGTTGTGTTACCATTTTTTGGCGGGTAGTTCAGCTGCGATGCTTTGAAGAAGCTTTTAATAATGATTGTAAAATTAGTTTGAAACGTGTGAACCAAATGCAGCATCAGTGTAGGTTGGTGCTAGATATGATGTACTGAAAAGCAAGTATGCCAAAGTGTGAAGTTCATATGGTAATTGCTGCTGTAACATCTTTTTAAAAAATTATTTTTCCCTAACATTTTTTCTCTTTGCTGTATTTTGTAGGCTTACATAGAAAATAACATTTTAAAAAATGAAATGCTTTTTCTTTTTCAACAGGAAAAAGAGGCTGTTTTTCTTCTAGATGATAAACATATAAATGAAATTAACCTGGCATCAGGGAAGACAAAGAAGAAAATCCCTAGACTGCAGTCATTGTTGAAAAACGTAGTTGTTTTAACAACATCAAACAATGGTTAAGTACAATATCTTATGTATTATAAACTCATGTTACTTTATTTGTAGTTGTAACAGTTTAGAAAGGTGGAATATCTAAAGGATCTGCTGGTTCACTGTCATCTTTAGAACTGTGTGAGGTGGAAGGGAAGTAATTTTAAGTACTTCACAATAATATCCTTCAAAACATCTCTCTTCTGATGTACACAGCTGCTTGGTTGGC